AAGAAACCTCTGCCGCACGAGTTGATCACCTAAGACGTGCTGACCTCTAAAAAAGTTTCCTCCCTGCTTTTTGGACTATTGATTTAAGCTTGCTGATACAATAAAAATAGTACCCAAAAAACCCCCTGCAGAGAAAAATCTAAATAAAAGGCAATTGTCTGATGCTCTACTGGGCTCCAGCTGCAACACACTGACAGCCCGCAGAGAGAGAACATGCATACTGATGCACTGAGGTCTCTGTCTGTGTTTGTTATTTTCACCGGCTTCCTCATCCCTCCTTCAAGGACCCCCAAACTCGACTGGAGCTGGTCTCTGGCAATTGGATTTAGCCATGTGAAGTCACTAATGATTTTGACAAGAGTAGTTATTGTGGAATGTGCAGGAAGAACACCTGATGGAATTGTGCTCAAGAAATAAAGGAGTGGAAAGGAAGAGGAAACATGAAGTTAAGAAAAACCCCAAAAACCAAAAAACTCATTGTTGAATTTTTCTGGTAAAGGGGAGCACTAGGTAGAAAGAGCTGGAAGGGGATGTGTGGGTCAAGAAATCAAACTACTGATATATTGTTAATTTTTCAGGCCTTATTTTTATGCAGAGTTGTCATCATAACATAGAGTCAATTTTGAATTTCATTTCTATTCACTTGACTTCATTGCATACAGTTTTCCATATTTGTATTTCTAGATGACTTTATAATATTCCATTTTGTGTATTGTCCTCTTTTTGTAACTATTCTTCCCCACGGGGCATTTGTGATGTTTCTAATTTTTGATTATTAGATGGTAAAAATAAACCTCTTAATGTACAGTTTTTCTTGCATTAGAACTATACATTCCTGGAAGTGAGATTCCTAGTTTCCGTATAAACATTTTATTTTACTTTGTTGCTCTTTAAGGGCTTGTGTAAGTTTGTTTCCTTTTCTATTATCCCCAGGATCTATATTGTTAACTTTGAGACTAATAACTATGTATCCTTCCATGTCTCTGTCCTTAAAATGCCACTGGGCTTCTTCATGCCATGTCTCTTTTCCTCTCTCACCTTCTCCTTCTCTGGTGATTGTACAAGGATTTGAAGGTATCAAATCTAATAGATCTTCACTTGCAGACAAGTTCTAAAACTTATTATCTAAAAAGCTTGAAGAGGTAGGGTAGGGTCCGTGGAATTATTGGGTCTCAGACTCCTCTGCACATTAGAGTCACTTGGGGAACTTTGAATAATCCTGATGCCCAGGTTTCACCACAGATAGACTGAACAGTCTGGAATGGTACCCAGGTATATTTAAGAACCCACCGGGTCATTTCAGTGTACAGCCAAATTTGAAAACCAGTGTTCTAGAACCACTGTGGTAGGATACAGCAAAGCCTCCATCCTTTTTTTCCCTCTTCTCTTCCAAAGGTCCATCTTTTCTAAATCAGGTTCCCATCCAAGAGTAAGGTTAGTTTCTCCTAGGAGTCCCACTGTGCCTGAATCTTAGGCAAGGTTGACTAGCACGCCTCTTGAATACTTCTTGCAGGTGGTATCAGTGCAGCAGGGACAAAGCCTTTGGCTCAGGGTCCAGCCTTCCAGCCCAGGGAACCAGTGAGTCCTGCCTGCTCCTGGCTGCCTTACTTGATCTTTTGGGACTTAGTTCTTGGCCTGCATGGGTTGGTAGTATCTGTGGTTTTTGATCTTTTCCCTACTTGAAACATTTTATATTTCACTTTCTAAAATAGTTGGGAGGATTTTTGTTGTGGTTAGGTTTCTCTAGAATTTGCTGCTATTGTTAAGTGTTTAGTTTCCATCTTCTCTGGTAGGTTTTACTCCATGGTGCCTGGGACCAGTGGTATGGAATAAATGTTTGTTGGATAAATTAAAGAATAATAAAATGAAAGGGATTATTTTGTATAAATGGCTATAAGTTAAAGTTGGATGATAAGTTCCCATTAGTGGAATATTTTAGTTTATGAGGATCAATTTCTTCAGGATACCTTGCAAAGGAGCACTTTCTATTTTATTTTTTGATATTACTTTCATCCATCACTATCTGAAAAACGTTTAAGTTCCAAACCTATAGCTATTCTGTTGTTGTCCCACAAAATTGACTGTGAATTGAAGCCCATTTTCCCATTGACTTCCTTGAAAATATTTAACATGACTTGCTACAGGGAAAAATAACCAGTAGAGAAGAAGAGGTTTTGGTGAGAAGATGACCACCATTTAGTGTCGTCCGTGTTGCTTTCCTTTTAGGAATGGTTTTGAGGCACTTGGAGATGTGTGTGGCACGTTCCCACTTCAGGGTCTCTGTGCATTCTCCCTGAGCCCTTGACACCTACACACCTAGTCACTTTCTCCTACAGTATCTCCAAATACCATCACATTGGGGGTTAGAGCTTCAACATATGAATTTTGGGGGACATAGTTCAGTCCATAGTATCCTCCACGGAAAAATAATTACATGTTCATGTATTTCCGATTAACAAGCTAAAAACAAGAGCAATTTTCCTGTGAGACCCATAGACTTAGTCTTGTTTCTTTGTGTGTTATAACATGTGTATGTGCATACATACGTGTGTATGTTGACTTAGCCTTGTTCCTTTATGTAGCATTGTGTTGTGTCCAGTATAATGCTTTCTCTAATAACTCAGAGCCCTTTTTAAGCAAATGAGCAAAATATACAATTAATATATAAATTCATCCTTTCCAAGGTAGTGTACCATAAAAAGAAATATGGAATCCTGTTTATTATAGTGTTAAAGAAATAAGTGTTTACCCTGCTCTTTCCCATGAAGCACTGTGTATTTCTGGACAATAGGATTATTGCTCATCATATTATACATCCTAGCAGCTCTGTTCGCCCTTAGAATTATGCGAGTATTTTTAGAAGCAGTAAAATTGTTTAGTTTGAAAACATTAGAATTAATTGGGTGAAGGCCTAACTGAATTAGTAAAATGTTTGAATCAGTAGAAATTTACTGTGCTTTGAGTATACAGGGACTTAAACTAAGCTTTAAGAAACCTCTGCCCCTAGAAGTATAATTTACCCATTACTGATATAAATGTGCTTTTAAACAGTTTTTACTTAAAATACTTTAATGCTACCATCTTCCTTCTTAGCTAATTTGCTAAGTCAAGGCAAATTTTAATAGAACTTTAGTCTCAATTGTCACAGAATTTTCACTGTTGGGACTGGATGAATAAGACTTTACCTTGAACTATTTAAAGATATTTTTTCTCATTTGTCGAATATATGTTTCAAAAATGACTATATCTGTGGATGAAGCAGCTATAGACCTAATGACTATTTTAGTTATAGCTCAAATAATGTTTTTCTAAATACCTCCTTTCATTTCTGGAATTTTGGTAGAATCAACTCCAGCAGGACTTTAAGGGATAAAATGAGAAGTGTTTAAACTCCTGTGTTCACTAACATCCCTACATCCGAGATCTAAATTTGAAATCTCCCCCTTTATCCCTGAAAAGAAAACTGAAGTCAGTGGGTCTGTTCCTTGCAGGAGAATGCGGTGAACGGAGAGCACCTGTGGCTGGAGACCAACGTCTCAGGAGATCTCTGCTACCTCGGAGAGGACAACTGTCAAGTCAGATTTGCAGTGAGTGTGCTCCTCAGGCTCCAGGCTCTATCCTGGGGGAGGCCTCTGAGTCTGAAGGCAGAGGGGTCACTGCGCCTGAATTTCCAAGGAGAGGTTTGAAAAAGCCTGTCTTGTGAGATAGAAAACATCCCAGGTGTTTTCATGTTTACATAGCATGTTTATCAAGTTAACACAGCTTTCAAGGGGTCAGTTTTAATGGTTTTAGGGTTTGATTGTGCATAGCAGACCTTATGAGGATGCCCGATAGGTTTTTGTTGTTGTGTTGGGGTTATGGGGAAGGACGTGTGTGAGGCATTATCTTGCTTATGGAGGGTTGTCAGGCAGGGGGAGGGGCCTGTGGGTGGAGGGAGGGGCTGTGTGGAGCGTGTGATTTGTCTGTAGGTGTTACTGGTGGATGAAGGTGGAAAACACCTGGGCTGGCTAGCAAGTAATTCAGACAAAGTTCTGGAAGATACAACTCTACAAACAATATAAACAATCAACAGGTTAATTGGAATATCCTTTGCTTTTTAAAATTTGCTGTGTCCTATTTAGAACAATCTGTTTAGAGGTTAAAATTCTCTTTATATCCTCTGAAAAAAGCAAGGTTGCCGGGCAGTAAGCTGTGGAGGAACTAAAACTTTAGTGTTGAGAAAGTGAACTTAAAATTTTCATATAGTTTAAAATGATTGGTCCAAAAAGAGAGCAATAGGAAACTTAGAATAGTAAAGAAGAAAGGAAAGATGTATTAGTTTTTATTTGGGGAAATGTGCATTGTAATTTACATAATACTTTTTTAAAAAATTATTTTTGTTTATTATATGAAAGAAAGATTTGGGGCAAAAGGTAGGGCTTTGAAATTGCAAGTGAATATGTTTCTGTTAATAACTAATAAGGAAGCAATTGAGTTTCCATTAAAGCTTATAGAAGAATACAAGGGTACTTCAAAAAGTTCACGGAAATATGAATATGAGTATAGTCCCCAAGGACTTTGATCGCATAGTACCGAAACCAAGAACTTTTACTTTGCTTTGGCTGTTTTGATCCCTAGTTTATGGGTTTTGTTTGGAAAAAATTTGAGAGTTTGGGGTATGCCAGGGTTTCTTCGAGTGAAGTTTGGAATAATGTCAGGGAAAGGCCCAGATAGATTTGAAGTCAGGAAACCTGGATTCAGATCTCAGTGTTACTATTCACTGTGTGACACTGAGAACTCTTGACTTTTGGGCCTTGGCTGCCTTCAAGGTAGAAAAACAGAGTAGGATTAAATCATTTTAAATTTTGCTTCTAACTCAGACCTGTAATTAATCATTTGCATTTCTTCTAATCTTGTAAATTCAATTGATTTAAGTATCAGGATTTCAACCTTATGCATATGTATTTTTAATTAAATTATAATTGCATGGAATTTGATTAAATTAACTAAATCCATGAGAAGCTCAGCTGTTTGGACTAAAATGATATAAATGATGAATTAACATTAGGGTCTTAGTTAATTGCACAAACATTGGTCTTGGGATATGAGATCATATAAAATGGGAAAAATGGAAGCCAATCTTACTTGGGTGCATGCTTTTGAAGAATTTCTACTGATCCTGCAGCCAGCTGATGGACTATGATTTGTTACAGAGTTCTGCCTCATCTCCAGATTGCTCCCTTTGATCCTTTTCTGGTCCTTTTTTGGGGGAACAGCTACATATTACTTCTGTTGACAGATGTATGAACAGATGCATATATCTTCCTTGAACTTTGTATCAGTAAATAGCACTGCTGTCCACTAACTAATTATTACTTGGTCACTCTTACCGCCAGGCCAGGAAGAACAACAAAAAGAATAAAGGAAATTTTAGGTAGAAGTAGGAGGGAACAGAGCTGTGAAAAGTCCCAGCATCCTCCTGAACCTTCCATATAATTTCATCCCAGGTACTAGGTGCTGTTAACTCACTTTAGAAAGTGTCTGGAAGATGAAAAACTCCCCTCCAAAAAATGTTGATTGAATGGAGGAATAAGTCAGTGAGGAAACTGAAGACCTAAAACTTTTAAGACACTTAAACTTCAGTTTCTTCACTTATGAAGAGGGAAAATTCTGTTTAAGGATTTGATAAGATAGAAGGGTTTAGCTGGCACAGCAACTGGCATAAAAAATTCAAGGGGAAAAAAAAACATAAGGGACAAGAACAGAAAATTCACCAAAGAACTACTAATTGCCAGTATATTTGAGAGAAGTATAAACAAAGTTGTCCAAAGTACGACTCTGAGGTGTCCACATCATGTGCCTATTAAATTAGCAAAGATTTATAAAATGGTAACACTGCTGGTTGGTTTAGGCTGAAATGAGAAGTCTCATCATCAGCTGGCAGGAGTGTAAATTGATACACTTCACAGAATTGGCAGCATGTGGTAAATGCATGAAAATTCTTCTGGCTTTCTCTCCCCTCTGCCCGTTGTGGGTCTGTGCCATCTTTAGGCATCACATTTGAGGAGAGACATTGGCAAGCAGCCAGGGACCCAGAGAGAGTGCCCAAGTTGGTTCAGGGTATGGAAACTTGTAAAGAAAAGTTAAATAACATGGGTTAACAGCTGAGTATTAGGAGGGAAGGTAGAGAGACATCTTCCAGTATTTGAAGAGCTGCTGTGAAGAAAAGAGCAGTGACTGTCTATCTGTTGTTAGGAGGGTAGAGCTGAGTTACAGATACAGAATCCACCAACTCTAACAGTGGATCTCACACTCTGCTATACATAAGCATCACCTGGGAAACCTGTTAACAATGCAGATTAGTCTCCTTTCCTTGCTCCAAATGCCGATTCAGTATGCCTCGAGTTGGACTTGGGAATCTGTGATTTTAACAAGCACCTCAAATAACTCTGGCACAGATGGTCCACAAACCTAAGTTTGAGAAATACTGTATCTTAAGAAAGAACTTTAACAAGCAGAGCTGTCCAGCAAGGGAACAAGGTGCCTGGAGAGATGGGTTCAAAGCATGTGTTTGTGGGTAACATGGATGGGCATCTTTTAAGGAAACGTAGAGGGGGATGCACAGCTGCTTTGGGTAAGAGGTCAGATGAGGAAATCTCCAGGGAGTGTCCAGTTTAGATGTTCTATTTGCAGCCTTCTTAGAATTGAACAACAGTTCTGTAGGAAAAAGGCATGTGTAAGTAGATTATGTGTTGTATTCTCATTTCTTTTAATGAACCACCTTTGAAGAAAGCCTGCCCATCGGGGTTGGGGCCAGATTACCATTACCAGGTACTATCTGCAGACTTCTAAACAAAATACAGGCAGAGTGCTTGGGGGAGGAGTGAATTTATCACCAAAGACGTGCCTTTCACTCCTTACCCTATTTTAGCAAAGCAAATGTCATGAGTAGAAGTTAAGAGAGGAAGAAATCAGTGTGGGTTGAAGTAGACAGAGGCAGCTTCATGGAAATGGGGCTTGAGCTCAGTTTTGAAAGATGGGTAAGATTTACATAAGTGGAGTTGGGGAAGGAGGGAGAGGCACATGAGCATACTCAGAGGCAGGAACAGACTCTGTACAAGGGAGGCAGCGATTGTGAGACACGCATGAGCAACCAAAGGGCATGTATTAGGTAAGAATGGAAATAAGGGTGGATGGGGCATTGGTGGGTTCATGTTTTCTGCACTGTAACTTGGAGCACGTGTTATTAATGTCAATGTGCTTCTGAAGCCTGACCGTATAACATATTGTCTAAAGCAAGACAAGTTTGAGGGTGAAAGTGGCTGCTGGTAATAAGGATACTTTAACATTAGGGGTAAACCAGAACTGCATCAGGGAAACTGGGAGGGTCACCCTAACTTATGGGGGCATTAGAACATCTATTTACAACCAAAGCTGTCCTGAAAAGCCTGGACACCCTCCTGCCATATGGATTGATATTTGGGGGCTGATATTGGAAGATATTGAGAGCAAGGCAGTGACTTCAGAGGACTCTAGGATGGTTGTAGCACATGACCTTTGAAATCTTTTCTCTTCTGCATTTCTCTGGTGGCAACATTTAATACCGTAGAATAACCGTGAGCAGATATCTAATGGGATTAAATTTGTTCCCAAATCAGTGACAGTTCCCAAATTAGTAACTGTTTCTTTTTTTGGTCTAGAGAGGAGAAAGCGATGCAAAAGTAATGAAACTGAAGTTGAAGGATCACTGTTTTCCAACCTGATTATGGGGAAAAAACCTGAAATAAAATTCTAGCTAGGACCATTCTTGCTTGATAACATTTATTTTGATGTACATTTATTTATTCCGTCAGTGTGTATGGGCTGAGGACCCAGCACCAGTCACTTCAGTGTTGAGAGTAACAGCTGACTGTAAGTGACAACCTCCCCATTTTGTGGGTTCACTCTGGTAGAAACCGTTCTCCTGATCTGGTGATAGGGCATGTGAAGATGTTTGGCCAAATGTTTGTACCCAAAGGAACTCACTCCTCCACTAATAATCCGTAGAGTGCATACAAGAGCACACTTATTTTTACACTTGAAAGAAGCTTGCCTAGGTTGATACATAGATGTATACACCAATCTTGGTCACATGGGCCTGGCCAGGTACAGTAGGAAGGAAATGGACTTTGTGTCAGACTGACCGGGGTTTGAAACCTGTGCTTCCATTTGTGTGCTGAGTGAATTTTGGACATATTATTGCACTTCTTTTTGCCTTAGTTTCCTAATTTGAAGTGTTTTTATTTTTATTCTTATTTCTGGATGAGCATTACAGTCACTTATGATACTTTACTTTTTAATTTTATTTTTTAAAGTGTTGGTTCCCAGCCTGGATCTGCTACATCAGAATCTCTGGTGAGTGGAACTGGGCATAAAAATGCTAAAAAAGATAACAAAAGCAGCAACTCCACTGATGATTCTGTGCAGTGTCAGAGTAGAGAGCCACTATCAACTTCATAAAGAGAGCATCAGGATGAAAACAGGTGGCCTGGTCCTCAAACCTGGCATATGGTAGCTGTTATGAGTTGAACTGTGTACTCCAGAAAGATATGCTAATGTCCTGAAGCCC